AAGAAGAATCTACCTAGATGTGTCCTTAACCATATGTCTGTATCCCCTCCTGTTCTTGTGTTGGATTTTTATTGAAAATGAAAATCAGGTCCATTAGGGATTCTTATTTATTTGACATGCGTTTTGGACTGATAATCATATTGAAGTGTAATATTTGATTGCATGCTTAGCTCGCTTAAACCAAGGGAGTGTGTCCTCTTCAAAACCATCCATGAAGGCTTTGCACAAGACCTAAACGAATGATTCTTAGATTTACTGAATGTCATTGGGGGACGGAAAAATGTGAACTTGCACTATACAAGTTGCCAGCAGAAGAAAAAAAAGAAAAGTATATTTCCGTATAAGCAAAAACAATTAAATTAAGTTCCCCAATCCCCCAGAATTGCTCCACTTATAAGACTGGTGATCAAAACGTTTTTGTCAAACTCCAATGGTCCATAGAATGTGTCTTTCTTTTTGATAATTTAACACTTAATATGCAACTTGCTCTCACAATCTTCACTGAAATGTGTTTGAGAACCATGTACCATTGGTAGCCTTGGTGTCTGGGTGATCTACCTCATGTTTACCATTGTGGTTGTGGGCTGTGAACATATTAGAGCCATGTGATTGTTGTTGGAAATTTATGAATGTATTAAAAAGGACTTCTAAATTCATTTCTGTGTGGGTTATTTTTTATTTATTTATTTTTTCTCTTTGGTTTTCACCTGGAAATCTGAAGACATCAGCAGTCAGGTGTAAATATTAAACCTGAAATCATTGTATTCCATGTTTAACCCTGAGCTTTTACAAACTCACCCTGTGCAAACAAAGCTTATTTCAACTCACTGGAATGTATTTTAAATTCTAGTGAACATTCTTAAATATGGGAAAACTGTATAAAATGATACTCAAGACATCTAGGATGTTTTCACAGCTATAAAATGGGTTAGAGTAGGTCACTCGGTGTAAACATCATTCAGTTCTTGCCCTTTGTAACTAAGGCAAAAATATTATTTTAAAAGTTGAATATAATACTGAAAGTGTCTGTCTTTAACTCTGTCACAGTGCAGTTGTTTTGAATCCAGTAATGTCTTTTATGGTTTCGTTGATATACCCACAACAGAAAAGGTGAGCGCAACTCCAGAAAACACGAGCATGTATTGTGTCGAAGTCGCCACAGAGCCTCTAACATGGTTGTTGAGTGGTTGGAGTTGAATTCCAGTGATTTATTAAAGACAGATTTATTTTTTAAATCAAAACTTTGTTTGTTTGTTTTTTTTTTCATTTTTTATTTAATCAAACTTTGTAGAAGCAAAAAACACTGTGCTCACCCAAAGACACTGATTTGGGTGAATCTTTTTTGGTACTTATTTATCAAATTGAAAAGCTTTAAATCCCCTTTAAACTCAGATTTTTGGTCATTATTTCAATGACCTTCCTGTGTATCTGCTCAGAATTTTGCAAGTGCATTAATGCAAAACTTAAGCAGTGTTGTTGAAATTCATGCGCAGCCCTGTCTCCAGCCTGTGATTAATAATCCTCTCACTCTCCCCTCTGCCTTCAATCCCAGATCTTTTTATGCTGCTAAAGAGTAAAATCCCAGGCCTCTTGCTCATTTCCTAAGCACCATCCTTTCTTTCCCTAACACCTCTGTAACCATGCTGTGCCCAAACACAATGACCCTTATCACTATCAAGGGCAGATATGGCTTCATAATGGATGCCAGGATCTTCTCTGGCTTCACTGTAAGGGCGCAGGGGCATTGTTGGTCCAGGGACAGTCCTATTTCAGCTCCTGCAAGGTAATATTAGAGCACACTTTCCATCAACCTACAGCCCCTGTGTGATATAACACAAGGCTATTTTCAGCCAGCTGCTGTCAGGAAAGGATAAGGAAGGGAGGGCAAAGTGGCTGGCATGCTGATTCTTGCACCTCATAATTGCTCTTTTGGGAAAAGCAGAAAGATATTGTGCACAAAGCTCATGAGAGGCTTGTCTCTAAAGATTTCGGATGTCCTAAAGTGATTCATTGGTCCAATGCTTACAAAGAGGGCGAAGGGTTAATTGACTGTTTATACAATATGTACAGATCTCCATTATGCTGTGATTTTGCTTCTCAGATTGATGTCATTGTTTGATTTGTGCTCTTGGCTGATATTTCAGCAAATGCCTTTGACAGAAAAAGAAAACGTCTCCTGATAATTCCCTCTGACCGATTTCTTTCAGATATTGAGTCCTCAGGCAATGCAGTACTTAATATTAAACTACTTTTAAACACATGATTAAACATATCACTGATGCTACTGTGAAATATTTTATATCACCATAACACATAAAACACCGTTTGCTTACAGATCTATAACTATAGAATTATGCAGAGCACATTCTCACATGAGCAGGGATATCAGCCACAATCATAACAGAGGGATTCCTGCAACATAATATCAATTTTCATAGATGGTAACCAAGAGTATATCATTCATCCCTCTTGGCAGTCTACTCTAATTACTCTCAGGCTTCCACAAACCATCTAGCTAAAACCAAAGCTCATCTGTCTGTGTGCTTATTGGGGGGTTGGGGTGAAGGTAAGTGGAGTGCCGGGGGATTACAGTTTGCCTTTGGTGGATCACATCCACTACTGCAGCGATGCATATCCTATCAGCGGCTAAGCCTGTGAGTGTGGAGTGAGTCAATTCCAGGGAGCGAAAACCCAATACTGTGATGTGAGAGGAGAGGGAGTGTGACCCTGCAGTGACACACCGGTCACGCAGCAAAGCCTGCTCCAGCGATAGACTGTCAAATGTCTTGCCTCCAAGGGTGAGGTCCTGCGTGAGCTGACGAGCGTCTGACCATACGATCTGGATATTATCAGTATTTACCCACAGATGTGAATCCTCAAAAGAAAAGAAAAGAAAAGAAAGAAAGAAAGAAAGAAAGAATGAAAGAAAGAAAGAAGGAAAGAAAGAAAGAACTGGAGTACATGGTCAGTTGAGCAACCTAATATACCCTTTTAAAAAAATGCACTACAAGCAAAAGCACTGGAGACAATAGACAAATGCACCTAGACTCTGTTTAATAATTTATTAAATACAGCATATTACACTCATGTTGATAATGTGCATATACTAGTACTTATACTATAGAGACACTTCTTTAATTTAAAATTTTATTGCTGCACATTTTTTCTTTTTTAAGTAGTGTACAAAATGAAATGCAGCATCCTATGAAAAAAAAACAAAAAAACACAAACATGTCCTTTGTGCTACAGATTACGAGGTGATGTTAAGGTTCAGGACATGATGACGCTGACGAGACACATGCTACTCAATGGACACTTGGCAGAACAAACAGACACCAAAATTCCACAGGAACAGGAAGTCCAAAAATCCCTCATGCAGTGCATTACTGAAAACCTGGCCGCCAGTCAGATCTGCTTGTTTCATCGACGCCAACTCATACACGGTAGCCAGCCGCTTGATCATTGTTGGCAAAACAAAAAGAAAAAAAAAAAAGACTGACAGCCAGGTCCCATTAACGATACTACGCATCTCGTAAAGCAACATCCACCACTTTGAACAGCCAACATATACACTATCTGTCTTCCTATGTGCATTACTTCATTCACACCGCTGTATCTAGCACCCTAAGACTTACTAACAGAACTATCCACCAACATTTTCACATAGAAAACCTCATGGAATTCATATACTTCTATGTTCAGCCTTTGGGAAATACTTTCATATATCGAATGAAATGAAGTGCCTTGCATTAAGGAATTAGAGGCATGGTAGTTTCAACTAAAATAGTGCAATTTCACATTCCTTGTCATTAATGAATTATTCTCCATATTATACATTTGTAGAACTATTTGGTGTGCGTAAAGGTAGAATGTGCGAAAATAAAAGTGCATGCAGAAGGAGGTTAAGGAAAGAAATAATTTTGGGAAATGTACTTTCTTGCAAAGAGTTAAATGGGAGAATTGATACCCCTCTCCTGTCTATATGAAGCATCTGTTTAGCTTAGCTTAGCTTAGCATAAAGACAGGAAACAGTGAGCAACAGCTAGCTGGGTCCAACAGTAACAAAACCCACCTACTGGTAAGAATTTCTTTTCTTTTTACCTTTGGACAAAGACAAGCTAGCTGTTTCTCCCTGGTTCCTGTCTTTATGCTAAGCTGAGCTAATGTGCTAATGTGCTTAGCTTAGCTGGCTAACAGACATGAAAGCAGTATCAATCTTTTCATCTAATTTTCAGCAAGAAAATAAACAAGGTGTAGGTCATAAAAATGTAGAACTATTCCTTTAAAGAAAAAAAAATACTACTGTTTGTCAACTGATAAGAAACATCAACTTTTAAATGAAGAAAATACAAACTGATGGAGAATGACTGACAAAACTATCAAATACAGGAAAGAAAGAAATATGAGTCAATAAAGAAAATCCCTGAGGGATAAAATCCTACTGATAACTGAACTAAAGGACGTTTCAAGAATAAAGATGATTGGATTTTCATGTACAGTACTTTAAAATTATGATTGCACAAGGTAATCGCAGAATTTTTTTTTTAGCTAGCTAATGCAACTAAACCAGATGGGCAAAGATTCAGCTTCTCAACAGTGACAAGAACAGCTATGCTTGTTTTTTAATAAGCATGCCATTGAGAGCATGACTGCATACAATGACTCATTAACAATGGAATGAATAAATGGATGTTGAATGCGACACAAATTCTGCATTCAATAAGATGTGCCATTCAGATGAGAAAGAATTATTGTTTTTTGCTTGTGGAGGAAGAATGGGACGGAAGGATGGAGAGCAAAGATAAAAGAAGGTGAATGGAAGGAAGGAAAAGGCAGAATGGGATTAGGTAGAGAGGGAGGGAATAAACGATGGATGGAATGCGGTAAGGAGGGATGGAGGGCGAATGAAAAAGATGAAGGATGAAAAGAGGGAAAAGGGTCGAAGGATGGAAGGAAGGAAGGTAGGATGGAATTAGAAATGGAAGGAATAAAGGATGGAATGCAGCATGGAAGGATGGACGGTGGAGATGAAAGAAAAGAAAGAAGAAAGCAAAAGGAGAGAGGAAGTAAAAGTAGAGGAACACTTTGTTAAGTTCTCTTATCAGGAGAGGTCTGTGAGTCCGCTGCCTTGCTCGATGACCGCCTTAGCGAACTGCTTGAAGACACGGTCCATGTAAGTGCTCTGTCGAGGCCACAGGCCCTCGAGGAAGCCAATATGGCCGCCATGACAGGTAATAAGCAGGGCCAGGTTGGGATTCTGCTTCACTGCCTCCACTGGAATGGCTGCAAAGGAAACAAAGCATTCAGGTCTATTTTCTCCTACAGTGGGCTAGTTTCCATTCCTAAAGCTACTCCATTCGTACTGACAGCCAGCACATACTGGTTACTGTTTTATTATGTATTATTAGTATCGTTATAAGTTCATTGAGAGCAGTTATTATAATTTGCTTTGAGGAAATAAAAAAAATCGTCATAACGAAAGCTCCATAGTGAGGTCAGGATTGTACAGGAAGTCTTATTTTGCAGAACATGGCCGGGACTCACCATGAGATGGAGAGAAGACATCATCAGCAGCGTTCAGGCACAGCATTGGCACCTGAACAGATTTCAGCCTGTGGACGGGACTGGCGTCATGGTAGTAGTCGTCATTGGTGGGATAACCAAACATTATGGAGGTGAACCTCTCATCAAACTCTCTGATGGTCCTTGCCTGTAGTGGGTCGGGTAACATCATTAACTTCTGGCCATCTCATTTAATTAGATTAGCATTTGCAGCCAGGTGTCACTGAAAATAATCCCTACCTTCATGACATGATCGATGTCGTAACACTTTTCAAGCACTGGTCTGTGTCTGGAGGGGAGATTAAAAATAAAACTGTCACCCACTGCTGTTAGGGGAAATAATGTGCATTCGAAGATGTCCCTCAAGGATGCTGACAAGGTTGTAAGCACCTAATGAAACAACAATCGAGCTCAACTTTCAAAGTAAAAGCATTACTGTGCATTTGTATCATTTACCGGAATACATTGAGAGAATTATAATTGTTACAAACATGCTTTTTTTTTTTCCAGCAGCTAACAAATGAAAAAAACAGCAGTAGTTCTGCCTAACACTGCAAAAACCAAACCTTAAATCAGCATATAAAACCCAGTTATTCAAGCTCATGAAATGTTTAGCCCCTTGCACAAGCTGTGAGTTAGCGGCCGTGTTAATCCCGCTCTGGCCTTGGCTGACCTGTGCACAGACGCTTGTAGGCAGCTGGTGAGGTAGGAGTTGAAGAGGAAACGGTCCAGGGGTTTTTCCAGCGAAGCGGTGCACTCAAATACGTCCCAGCCTGCTGAGAAGACTACAACACCTTTCAGGCAGGTTTCCCGGCCCTTGCGCCCCAAATAATTGGCCAGCATCATCCTGGATAGGGAGAGGGGCGAGAGGAGAGGGCAGATGGGGAAAAAGAGAGGGACTGGGAGATGTTCCATTTCTGACCAATCCTTCAATTCATGAGATTAGAGCTGTGCAGTAAAAAAAAAGAAAAAAAAAAAAAAACCTTCTCTGGCATGCTGCACCGAACGACTGAAGTGATACTACAGCTCCTTTGCCTCCCTTTTGGTAGCATTTGGCATAAACCAATCACAGACTTACTGCAGTACTAATGTTGGAACATGTTATGTCAGCCGATTTCTGGGTATTACTATGTATTTTAGTTGCAGGTTTAGTTACCACTGAGTCGCCAACAAATGCGTGATGTTGACCTCTACACCTTTAAGATTTGTTTGGATCGTTGCCTGCACTGAAATGTCCAGTCAGCTGATAGTGAGTGGCTTCATTACCCGCCCATGGATACTCCAGCAGCCATGATTGGAGCAGCTTCATTGGTCTTCTGGATGTGCTCAATAACAGTCTCCAGATCCTCTGTGTTGGCCGCACAGTAGGTCCTCGGGGTCTGGATGTGACACGAAGACAATACAGTCACTCTTTTCTTCCTGTTTCTGTCTCTATTTAAAATATAACAAGGACTCAACATGAAGAAATGGTGAATTATAAGATGCTTGCCTCCAAAAGATATACATGCCATTTATTTATTTTCTATTAGGGCTACTTCATCTTGTCAGATATCAGTCACACTCAACTTTTTTCACAAAGATATTCCACCTACAGTATCTAACCACTTTCTCTGGTTATGTGATCAAATGAGGAAAACAACTAGCTAAAGCAAGCAAGCATCACTTGGAAATAAATATACAGTAGCTGAAGACAGAACAATTAGCCTGCAGTGTCGGCTACAGTGGACATCGTCAGGCGTGGACCGAACTCTTTCAGGACTCACACACAAAGGCTGCCATCCCTGCCCATAGAAAATGAACATAAAGGGATTAAAGTGTCAGTGTCAGTGTACTGAACAGTGCGTATGTGATAGTCCCCCCCCAATGTCACTGTGTAGCCCCAGTGGCCTAATGGATAAGGCACTGGCCTCCTAAGCCAGGGATTGTGGGTTCGAGTCCCATCTGGGGTGTGTAACAACAAATAATCCATAGACCTCAGGGTCCAAAACCCAGAATTCAATGGATTGAAACTATTACTTCCTTTCCAAAAAAAAAAAAACTGATTATCTTTGAACTGTAGGTTGCACAAGACATGTAAAGATGTTATCTAAGGTTTAGGGAAACACTAACACATTCTTGACTAAACAATAAAACTGATTAATTGGCAAACATCCAAACCATTGTTGGAAACACGTATGAGGATCAACATGATTCACTAAATCAGCTTTAAACCTTAAAAAAGTAATTATGCAATTGGTCATTTTTGTTATAATGATTATGATTATGATTATTCTGCTGTGTTTTTCTTTTTTCTCCTAAAAGTTATATTTTGCTCTGTCTCATCTATGAGGCACATTTACTTTTTACCTGTATAACATACTGTATATTCAATTCTTTTTTGAATGTTGCAAAGGTGCAACTTTCCAGTTAATATTGACAAATACCATGTGATCACTGTTCAATTTGTGTATTTCTGGCTCTGATAAAAAATTTAAAAAAACACTGTTCAAGGTTTTTTTTTGGAAAAGAGGTAAAAATCCCTTCAGTTTGAGACACAGTTGTCAGACACAGCAGGTTACTTAACATTATAAAACAAAGCAGCTCTAATTTGAAGGAGCCTAAATTCTCAGGAGGCTGTTGAATCTCCAGCTCTTCAAGGCCCTTCATTAAGATTCAAGCAGAAACTCGGGCAAAGAAAATTCCTGTTTTTCTACTCTCTTATGGTTCCTCTACGAGGCACGCACAGGTTTTGGACTTTGTAGCAAAAGACCACAACTTACAAATTGAATTATAACAAATAAAGTTATATAAAGCAAAAATAAAATACATATTGTTATGGGGAATATTTGAGCAGACTTAAACTTCTGCACTGCAAAGCCACTCCACAGGAAAGCGTAACGTAATGGGCTTCTTTTTTTTTTTTTACAAGATCCAGAAATAGGGCAAAAGGCACTTAGGACAGCTTTTGAGGCAGGGGGCATCTTTCACACAGTGGGTCATTCCAAAGCGCTGGCCTATTTAAACAATGGAGGATATTCACACTAACTGGACACAGAGAAAACACTCACGGGAGCGTACAATTGCTAAATCATTTGCATAGAATATAATTCCCCTCTGACATGAGGGAGAAAATTCCCTCTTCACCACCATCTCTTGGTACAGCGCCAAGGTTACAATGTCCAACTTCTGTTTTTTTCTAAATCTGAGAACAGCTGAGCCAACCAAACTCTGGATATGACCTAGAATACAGGTTTAAATCAATCTGAGTGACACTGGACATTTTGCTTCAGTGTCACATTTATAGTTTTTTTTTTTTTTTTTTTTTTGCAGCTGAGACAGAGTAGACAGCAGCAGGACACATCAGCCATTGATTCAGATTTACACCCACTAAAAGGAACATTAGATTGATTGTGGGCAATCCCTGCCTGTAATGAAACACCATTTGTGCTTTGGATGAGATCTCTGTATGGTAGTGATGGCATGATTAGATCAGGGTGATACGGTCGTCCATAAAGAACGTGCCTCCTGTTCCAAAGCGCAGACATATACAGACAGAGAGGGGAAACATAAAACACAGTGGGCATGCTAAGCACTATCACAGCCCATTTTGTTGGCTAAATATACCCGGGTGCAAGAGGACAGATTAAGCCAGGTGTCAGAACAGCACGTGCTCGACGAGGTCATATTTCTGTGGATCTGCATTAAAATACAGTATCTGCCTGCAACTTAATCCCTGCTGTGCAACAACATTGTCTGTGCGGCGTCTGCTCAGGCTTCCTGCGGGCTCCGTGACACGTGTGCAACTGACATACTCTGGGCTGGCCGAAGCAAAGAAAAGGACAACTCTGCTCGGAAGCTTTCACACGAAACAAATGGGAAAACTGTCCGTCCTTAACAGTCCTGTTTACCCTGTTTACATGTCTGTCTTCCTGAATATGGACAAAAACAAATAATGAAATGAAATGTCAGGTTGAAATCTGTGATACTGTAGATTCTTACCAGTAGTGTTTCACCGGAAACCCCTCTGTTGTTAAATACCACACATCTGAAATACACAAATCATATACGCTATTAAATTATTATAGTGTCACTAATGACTCCTTTAATCACATCATCTGTTGATTTTAACTGAAACAAAGTCAAGAAGAGCTGAAACAACAGGTCAATTAATCAGGTGTTTGAACAACAGAAAATTTATCCCAACATTTTAAAAACAATTTTAAGCATAAATGGAGAAAAAAAATCATTAGTTCCAGCTTCTCACATGTAAATCATTTTTGATTTTTTTTTTTTTTGGATGGTGGCATCTAAAGTTGTCACCTTGGGCTCTGGAATAATCACCTTTTTTTTTTTTTTTATATATATATCAAACAGTTTATCGAGAAAACGACTGGCAGGTTAAGCAGTGATGAAAATATTTGACTGCAGCCCTAAACAACAATGTTTCAAAGCTCTGGTAAGAGCTCCAGTAGGCTTATGCTTGTTTTTTTTCTTGTCACTACAAGTTATCAACCTCCATGCACAAAGGAACACAGTGGCCCAAATGTTTCGTGCTTAAAAAAAAAAAAAAAGCAGAAGTGAGAATATGATGAGACGTGCAGAGAGGCACAGCTGTGTGAGGACCATTCTGTTTGTAGAGCAAAGGCATCAGCATCCCCTCCTCGCCCCACACCGCAAGTCATCTATTATCTGGTGGAGTCAGACCTGCTGTTTTTATCTGTGTAACTCAGCAGCAGGGAGGGGCTAGATGTGGTGTTGGGCAAGAGGAGGGGGGAATCTGGTGGTGGTGGGGTGCTTAAACACACACTGCAGCATATACTCGGAAGCTGGTCTGGGCTAAGCTGCAAAGCTTGTACCGGGATAAGCTGTAATTCATTAAGCTACACAGACAGGGGTGAGGGGTGGAAGATGCTGAGTTTGCCGGCTCTCTTCCCATGCCTTCCCAAATCTGGGTGAAAGAATGAGTGCAGAGAATACAGAGAGGACCTATTGCAGAGGGAGAAAAGAGGAGGAGGAAAAAAAACTTGCTTCCTCTGCAACTCTTCAAGCTTGTGCTACGTTTGGCTATTTACAAAAGCAGCTCTTGACACAGAGCTTAGCTGTCTAACTTTATTTGCGCACTTCGCCTGAAATAACCCCTAGCCCCTCTCTCTCATGCACCCATTATATAAAAGTTGCAAAATCACTACAAGACAATTTAATCAATATTGGTATGACTGCGGAAGGTATTTCGTTTCTGATTGGACAAGAAATCTGTATTCTAGATGAATATCGAATTAGAACATGAAGCACATACAACGTCAGTTTTGTGATTCAGTGTCCTGAATGTGTGCTCAGCGCTGGACCTCAGCCAGGGTATCCAGCCAAGACCACCCACCTATAGCCCAGATCCCGGCTCTGTTGGACCATGTGCAGGATGTAGGACTCTCGGCTGGTGCCGGTCAGACCGGGGAGAAGGAGGACTGTGGGCCTGGTGGCGGGGTCGGGATGAGAGAGGCTGTCGTCGTTGTCAAACCAATCCAAAGAGATCTGTCCTCCATCTGCTGCCTTAATAAGTTCACTGCAGAGACGAGCGGGACACGCAACTCAGCAACACGGGTCTTTCTGAACATTATCTTCTCTCTGTATCTCTATGTGTCTATTTATTTCTCTGATTTGTTTGTTTCAAACGTGTGCACACACTCAAGTACACACACATATTGATGAGAAAAAGTACTAAAATCAATATTAGATTTGGGTTTAAGTTCACATCTTCTTACTAAATGGTCATTTAAAAAGGATACAATACTCAATTCTCTGCACAATTAATACTTTCTGCTCAGCTCCAGGTAAACTGTGTCATTGTATCCATCACACACGCTGCCAAAGGGGGATCGGATATGTGAGTAGAATGCTCAGTGACAGCTCCCTCATTTCCCTTGTGATCATCTTGTCAGTATGCTTTGCAACACACAGCAAGTTAAGATAAGGAGGAGGGCACTGCACCAGTGGGTTCTTATGGTCAATCAATTTCTGGGCTGTACAACCCCAGCCTGGCAGATGAGGTAATTCATTCCCAGTGCCAGTGTATTTGAAAACCTGCACTGCACACAGACACACGCAGCAGCCCGTGAGCCGACTTGGCCGACCAGTGGTAAAGACATCAGCATGAAATTACAGAACCGCCATGAAATATGCACCTGCGGCTAGCCTTTAAAGTCAGGGAGGGCCAATCCAGAGTGTCCAGCGCTCAAAGTAGGAGGGGACTTTCTTGCCAGTCCTCTGCTGGGACAACAAGATGAGTGAAATTTCACCCCGGACAGCGTATGACAAATAGGACAGTTTTCACGGCGTCTGTCCTTGGGTCGACCTTGTGTAACTTCATTATGGGGGGTGGGGGGGTGGGGGTGGACGTCCTGTTGTCCCCAGAGGAAATGTGATAATAACTTCAGCCATCGTGACCATCAGTCTTACCATGTTTGATAACAGAGTTGGACTGGGTTGGATATAGTCGCTGTGCATTATGGGAATATTTATCTCCTTGACTCAGGGGGACAGCGGACAGTCAATGGCAGCGTGAAGGTCCTTGGGACAGACAAATTACGGGACTAATAATTCAACTTAAGAATTCAAAACTGCCAAATAACTGATTTCTTCTACTGATTACCAATATTAATGATAAATACTAGAGACTTAATTGATTTTAAATTTATTAATCTTATTTTTATGATAGGTTAAGATTTATTTTTGTATGTGAAGGGTGAACAAAGCAAGAACTACAAATAGTTTGATGGGCCACATCAGAACAAAACAAAAACTACATTTACAGAAATTGATTTTTTATTTCAGTCCAACTCCAAATGGTTGGCTGATACATAACACTTAATCACATCACATAATATATGTACAATTTATATTAAATACAGATACACGCACACTTAGCCAAAAAGCATGGCCATGTCAATTAGGGAATGTCAGGGAATGCACATTGAACAAATTACATGAGGATGTAACAAGAATAAATAAATAATAAATAGTAATAATGAAAAATAAGGCTCTCTTAATTCATTTTAATCTCCTTTATACGCAGGGGGTAAAGAATGCAGTGCCAATTAATCTTCAACAGAATGTACATTATCGAGCAGCAGGCCGGGCAGCCCAAGCCTGCATCGTGGCACAAAAGATCTCTTTCTCCTCTGAGCTTTTGAGTCTTGGTTAAGAACAAGACTGGGATTTGTTTCCAGTTGTGAAACTGGAAAAAAAGAAATCAGGGAACAGACAATGGCAGTTTCTCAAAGGCCAAGCTAGGTTTAGAAGTTTCTTAACAAAGCTGTGCACAGTGGGCATGGAAAAAATCTGATTGTTTTCCCTCACAATTACTAACTCTAGAATGGCAGAGCAAGACAGCTGTCATATTCAATACACATTTACTGTACTGTGTCAAAGGTGAACTTTCTAGCTTGCATGCTTCACGTTTATCTCTCTCTGGATATGACCTCTATGACTTAATCCGTTTTATGAGTGCAAATGCACGTGATGTCTGTCTGCTCGCAGGGAGAAACCCATTTTTCAGTTTGGGAAAAGAAACATCTTGTGTAATGGATAATCAGTATGTCAGTCATGGTGAGGACTTACTTTCTGTAAACCACCCCAGGTTTGGCTGTGACAAAGGGTCTCAGCAGAGTCTGGATGCGGCTCTCCCAGCACCAAAAGGTGGGGTAGTAGGTCTCTGACACCACCGGACATTGCTCCCTCAGAAACTGGTAGAACTTCTTACCCCCCGAGATGAGCTGTGGCTTCTGAAAAATAAGAGTGAATGAAGTGTGTCACAGGTTGTGAGTTAAAAAATGACTTTTAATTACTGAGATGTTATTTAATATCACAACAGATCCATCACACACTGTGATAAAACATTATTTTAGCTCTAAGCAATGTTTTGTTTCATCATGTGTCCTAACACATCTAAATCATTTTTTAAATGGTTACATCGATTTCTTTAAACTGAACATCAACTCTTCTGATGCATATATCAAAACTGTTTAAACATGCAAAAATAACACTTGACAGAGGATATTATGATTAAAATCTAAAAACATCCAACTATAGCGGGGAGCAGGGTTGTTGCTGAGAACAGCCTCCTGACCATAGAGTGTGAAGTATATGAGATAAACACAGCACATCTGCATGGACCTGCGGTTTAGGCCTTTATTACACATGGACAGACCGAGAATAAACGCTTGGCATGCATTAGCTTTGCATAATTAAAATGAACAGCCATACACGTTATATATATTGAGATGTAGATTCAATAGTATACATGTGTTGCTTAATTTGGACTATTAACTACTTATTTTGTTTTTTAAGTCATCCCATTGCAGAAAATGTTGGCCTTATTGGTCATGTAGCATGCGATCGAGTTCATGCCATTGGAGTTCGATTCAAACACCTTGCCGTTTAACATTTCTAACTCGGTTTTCGCTTTATTCATACCTTGTAAATGTTGAACACGCACGTGATGAACTCAATCAACAGGTAAGTCATAATTATGGAACACACATTTTGAGTCTCTCCTAGCCATCCAGTAAAAAATTACAGCAACTGAACAGCAATACATACAACCTTATACCGGCGTTTTTAGCTAACGTACAGTAACGTTAGCTTAGCTTCGCCGATGCCGACATCTAACCGTATTGCTGCCGGTTGATTTAATGCAGTTATATAAGTGCTGCACATGAACGCAGAAAATATTCATATCAGGTATGGATGCTGATTAAGAGCGCGTCTTGCTGCCTGAGATCCGTCCCACATGTGCAGGCGTGTAAGGTTTAGTCCACCGGTGCACAGATGCAACGCGATCGAAACCTCCATCAGCCAATGCACCGGGTCGGGTATCATCACACGCGTTGATGATGCCCCCGCATGAAAAGCACACATGTCGGGTTTAACTTGAACATGCAAGCTATAAGGTATAAAGAGTCCCTACACAAGCAGCCGCTCAGGTCATAAACCATATGTCAACGTTACTTACCTTCGCTACTGAAATCAAATAGTAGCAGGTGTACGCTGCGCTAAAGCCCAGCACCAGAGACAGTCCTACTCCCGAGCCGAACAGCCCAACTTTCACTTGATTTTCCAGATAATATGACAGGTCCCTTGTCAAAATGTTGAAATTGAAGTCCAGCGAGATCATTGCAAGGTCCCTGTTTTCCCCCGTACTGCAAGGACAGTGGCCAGCTCGGTTGAAATTCAGCTGTATCTGCCTGTGAGCGCACTGTGAAGGAGACAGTCAAGGGGACCGGGTGTTGGGGGGGTGTTGGGGGGGGAGGGGGGGGGGGCATATAAATATAGCAGCGAACGGTGGCGCTCTTTGACCAGTTATCAATGGAGCCGCTCACAGTCACACAGTCGCCCCCTGCAGTCAAAAGAGGTGATGTGAGCCTGGAAGTATCTCTACCCTCTGTACATCCAGCAGCATATAGTAGCTCAGCCAAAAGACATAGTAGTTGCAGAGGCAAACATGAGCGTCACTGAACACCCTCAGCCTCTAAAAAATGATCATAGTTTTACTGCAGTGGTACTGCATTAACAACCAGGAAAAGCCTGCATATAGAGCCACAGGGGGCCCAAAGGATCCAAGTTCACAGTGTAGAATTTAGTTTGTGGTAATTTAATTAACTGAACATTTTGTTTATAGTATAAGGTATGCAGTGCACCACTAATGCACATCACAAACTTAAATAATTGCAGCCTTAAAGCAACACTTAATATACATTATTACCTAATCTTGGGGTCATATCTAGTAGAGAGGGGCCTTGAGTTAAAATGTATGTTTAAGTCCCTTTTTAAATTACAGTTTATATTTTGCTTACATGGTGCATTTTAGGTAAATACTTAATACTCACAGAATACACAAAAAGCAATGAAGAGGGGGTCAATGGGGGCTCGCAGGACATTTTTTCCCCAGGGCCCTATAGTGGGCTATTCTAGTTTATGTAGTCTTATTTCGAAAGCAGTCTACCTTAGACTTGTGTTGGTATTATCAGATTAAAGCACATGCAGTCTCTGGTGAGTCAGGCCTCAAAAAATTAAATGGAATTAAGATTTGCATTTGAGGTAAATATTAATATAATTTATACATAATTTGTTGATCCTGACTACAAATGAAATTACAAGAGACTTTCTCTCCTTCAGCCAGGTCTTTGGAGTCACTTCCCATTAAGTAATAAGTGCTTCAAATCATTTTAACATCCCTAGTATTTGCTAATGTACCAATGGTCGTCATTCTGTATCCTACCTGTGTAGCCTATTTGTATGGAGTTTGGATTTGCCAACGCAAAACATTACAGACTTCAACAAAGCAAGTTGCTAATTGTTATAAATTGATTGAATAATAATAAAAAAGAATTAAATGATCACTCACTATGTCAATTATTAACTATTAACTAAGTATTCAATTTAATAGGCTAAAAATTACTAAATTCAATCTTATTTAATCTAATTATTTATTTTTAACTGTTATTATTATTATTACCAATGAGCTACTTGACACATGAATTTCCCCTAGGTTATAAATGAAGTATCTATCTATCTATCTATCTATCTATCTAATACAGTATATCTACAATGTATAGGCCTATGTGGATGTATTCATTTACGTGAGTATATATACTTATGTATAGGCTACAGTAGGCCTATGGATATGTCATATATTCATTTCACCAGTGTTGGTTTGTTAATATTCCCACGAAATACACATTTTCTATGGAAATAAATTTGTTCCAGATGCGCACGCGCGTCGTGGGCCGAACTTGTGCTTGTTTTCCAAGCCTCGCGTCTTCGGGCATTATCGTTTACCTCCGTAGCTAGTTGTTGCTCGTCTGAGATCTGAACGATGATTGACAATAATGGCGACGCGGTCATACTGAGTTGACTCCAGGGAACATCTTGGATGGAAGGTCGGCGCCATACACAACAGCATTAAGGATAAACACCCTCAGAACGACTCTTTTAACACGAGAACGACTTGCTAGCCAAGAGAGGTTTATCTTGCTAGCATTGCGATAGCTAGCAACTCAGCTCGCTAGCTTGCTAAGTTGAAGAGGTGGTATTCTTGTGTGTGGAGTGGAGGAGAGGAACAGGGAGCTTGCTGAGTAGCGAGATCTGGCTAAGCTGGCAATGTGCCTACTTAATAAGCTTTTAAGGTGATCGATTTCTTATTCTTAGGCAACACTGAGGAGGCACTGGCTTACGTTAACGTTAGCTTGTGGGAGTAGTTAGTTGTCCAGCAGCCTCCTTAGGTAGCTAACTTAGCTACTCAGCTAGCAGGCTAGCTTTGTGGATTGTTCCAGTCCTTTTCCTGTTAGGACTTGCTCCCACTTGCGTTAGGAAACTGTCCACCAGTGCACCGATAGCTGGCTAGCAAAGACTGCTAGCTTGCTAACTTGTAAGAATCGTTGTGGCATTGTGAGATATTTTCGTAAATGACCACCGGCAGGAATAACCGAGCTATGATGGAAGGAGTGGGAGCAAGAGTGGTACGCGGACCAGACTGGAAGTGGGGGAAGCAGGATGGTGGAGAGGGACATGTTGGAACAGTCAGGAGTTTTGAGAGTCCAGAGGAGGTCGTGGTTGTCTGGGATAATGGGACGGCTGCCAACTACCGTTGTTCCGGAGCATACGACGTGAGGATACTAGACAGCGCACCAACAGGTAACTTCACATCAGCTAGTTTGTCAGCACTTTCAGATTAATTGATGACACGCGTCTTCCCATGCAACAGGGTTACGCTCAACAGAGAAGATGTTGTTTTGTTGGCTGTAATTTGGGGGCTTCGGTGGATACAGTGAGAATGCTTAGACAACCAGACAGCGAGAATAAATTGTTGCTGTAATTAAAAGATTAGATTGAGCCTGTGACGCAAAATCTCAGCCTTATAAAATAGTTGTTTTACTAAAGAAACTTTTAGTGTGGAAAATTCTTGGAGGCAGCAAATTAGTTATGGCTAGTTTATTCTGTGTAATGAATACAGAAGACATATGCATGGCTCTCCCCAATTTGCATAAAATCAAGATGTCTATTTTAATGCATCCTGTCTGAACAGATGCGTGTAGCAGACATCATTGTGTGCAAGATATGGAAAAAAGCTGTGTGAGACATACAAGATATGCACGTTAGAATATGTCAACATAACTTGCTTCTCCAAATTGCCCAGTAAGAGGAAAAACATTTTCCTTGCTCAGAACAGTAGTAGGTTGTACAGTATTTGTGTAACGTATATGATTAAGGACTGCTTCACCATCCTTTAGCTTGATTCTTCTCTGTATTAGTCACATCATTACAAACCAGTACAGTTACACTTTACATGCCCACTTGATTTCATGACAGTTAATATAGCCCTCCTAATAGGTAATGAGAATATGAACACATTTCAGTGTGCCATATGCAGAGTTGTGACTGCTTAGTAAGTGGAGTAATTTTTCTGCACAGATTGTATACATATTGTTGATCGCAAAATGTTGAACAGTTATTCAAGTAGCATCACTGAGGTACAATGTACATGTATTATCACACTGATATATTAACTTTGACTAATACTGCCGCCCCCAAGGCATCAAGCATGACGGAACCATGTGTGACACCTGCCGTCAACAGCCCATCATTGGTATTCGCTGGAAATGTGCTGAGTGCACCAATTACGACCTCTGCACAACCTGTTACCATGGAGACAAACATCACCTGAGACACCGGTTCTACAGGATCACCACCCCGGGCAGTGAGAGGTTAGTTAACCCAGCAACATTTGCCATTATGCCATTGTGCTTCACCTTAAACCCACCAATGATGACATACACACAAGGTAGCCAGGTAATCACTGTACTTCACTGTGATTGGTTGGCCTACTCTTTTACTCCCATAGTTTAGCTTTATGCTGCTTTATGTGTGTGTATATGTGAGTGTGTGTGTGTGTGTGTGTGTGTGTGTGTGTGTGTGTGTGTGTGTGACATTTGAGAAGTCTTTTGTGCACCCTGCCTCTCAGGCAGACAGAATCTATCTCTGTGCTCCCAGCCCTCAGTTGCCAGGCAACAACTCAGCCTCGTTTTAGGATCCAGTCAGATCTTTTTAAAAATTTTATTAATGCAGTTCTTCCCATTTATAGAATTTAATCGAGCAGATTTCCAAGTTTTTTTTGTTTTTGTTTTTCTATTTATGTCTTCACAAGGCGGCATGGTTATGGAACAACCCTGCAGCTTGTTTTAAAAGTCTGTTTTCCTGCTGACTTTCACAGTTCAAAACTTAGTGCTTTGACTCTGCAGAGAACATTTTGCATCATGTAAGACACCTTACTGTTAACTGCAAAGACTTATAAGTGTGTAATATCTGTCTTGGAAGTTAATATATATATAAAAATAATATAAAAGAATAACACTATACATGTACATCCCACTGTTATTGCTTCATTTAGTTGCAGCAATTCCTTCTGCTTGATACTGCTTTATAAATTACTATTTGTCTGAAGTCATGCTGTCATTCAAATGGCAGTGTCATAGTGGAAGCCCCATTGTTTTCCCGTTTGCTCTTTATTTGCTGCTGGAAGTTCATGTTGATGTGTAAAATTAGCACTTACAGGAAATCAGCCCTTTCTACATGTGACCAGCAATAAATGCATTTTAGTGCGTAGGTGCTGAACTGTGAAGGCAATGGGAGGTTTACTGTAAAGCCTCCTGTGGAACTGTTGACATTGTCAGCATAATTATCTGGCATTACTAAAAGGGGAAATTATAAAAGTTTAGCTCAAACTAGAATTAGACATTTTTCGAGTTTTCAGGTTACGGCATTGGAAGTTGGGGCTGAAACTTTTGCAGTTTAGGCAATCTTCAAACTGGGGCATGATCAATGGTAAGCACACCAAGAGATCTGTGCACAATACCACTGGAACTGTGTGTGTTTAACATATGAGAGTATGTGCACGTGATGTATGCCGTCCCCCGTAAAAAAAATCACCTAAATTAGCAGGTGTTTACAGATGGATTTATTTGCATGAGGCAGCTCACTCTGGCTTTCAGCAATTTTAAAACTTTCAAACTAATGTCAAAAAAATTTTAAACAATGACCCCCTCCTTCCTGAGCACTCCTGAAAGAATCACTAATGGAAACGATGTTTCAGGCATGGGGTGTGGAAAGTGGAGACATTGTTACCAATTACTGCATGTACAGACAAGATCAAGTCAAATGAAGGACGCTTTAGTCTGTGCATTCCGAGATGCTCTACAGAGAGA